TCCATAGATTTTAGCCATGCTTCTTTGGTCTGAACACCCTTCGAATGGGGTGAATAAATAAATAAATAATAAATAAATAAATAAATAAATTCTTTATTGGCCAAGTGTGATTAGACACACAAGGAATTTATCTTAGTACAAATGCTGTCAGTGTACATAAAAAGAAAAGATACATTTGTCAAGAATCATCAGGTACAACACTTATTGATAGTCATAGGGCACAAGAAGCAATCAAATCATACTAGGAATCAGGCAATAAAAATCGTAAGGATACAAGCGACAAAGTTACAGTCATTCAGCCACAAGTGGGACAAGATGGGCGGTAGGAACGATGAGAAGATTAACAGTAACAGTAATGCAGACTTTGTAAATAGTTGGACAGTGTTGAGGGAATTATTTGTTTAGCAGAGTGATGGCGTTCGGGGGAAAAACTGTGTGGGAGTATGAACGGATTTCCAGGGGGAAAATGTGCAGAGTATAGGAACCAGTTGCACCACTCAGGTGACTCAGAAGACACAGATAAACCTCCAAGCAACCTCAATGACTGTCTAAAAGGATGCAAATGACCAGTTCTGTCTGCAAGGAGTATAAATCCTTCCGTTCTCCACCATTCTGTCAGAGCTGAAGAAGCTTCTTGGATGAGAAGCGAAACCTCTTCAAAGAAAAAACAAGACAGTCCAGTTGCCTTCTGAAAAAGCACCTTTGGGACAACCACAACCTGGAGGACTGAGAATCTCCATAGAGTAGACAATGAGAGTAAAGGGGAATATTCCAAATGCAGATAGTCCTCGACTTACAACCTTTTTCTCAGTGACCACTTGAAGTTACAGCGCCACTAAAAAAAGTGACTTGTGGCCATTCTTCACACTTACGACCTTTGCAGCATCCCCCATGGCCACGTGATCAAAATCCAGCTGCTTGGCAACTAGTTCTTATTTATGATGGTTGCAGCGTCCAGGTAGGTCATGTGTGATCCTCCTTTTGCGACCTTCTGACTCGTAAAATCAAGGGGGGAGGGAAGCCAGATTCACTTAACAACCATGTGACTAACTTAAACAACTGCAGGGATTCACTTAACAACTGTGGCAAGAAAAGTCATAAATGGGGCAAAACTCACTTAACAAACTGCCTCGCTTAGCAACGTAATATTTTGGGGCTCGGTTGGGGTCATACGTTGAGGAGTACCTGTATGGCTCTTGGCGTTGCCCAGGATTTAAAATATCCAGGGTGTTGTGGTTAGCCGGCAGCAGGTGCGGACGGCTGAGGAGAGCAAGGACTCAGATGAGGGGCCAGGATCATTAGGGAGTGGACTGCTGCCTTCAGAGACTGTGGGGGCTGGCAGCAGTGATGAGGAGGCTCCCGAGGAGCCTGTGCTAAGTGCGCGTGTGTGTAGGATTACTCGTAGGAGAGAGCAGCTGCAACAGCATGGGTGACTCAGGAGTAAGGCTGCAAGGTAACGGCCCCTCCTTCAAGAAAATAAAAGCCAGCTGTGAATGAACGTACTTTGCAGAAGGCAAAAACGTTTTGAAACTCCAGCCTCGTGGACATTCCAGTATCCTGAGTCTGTATTTAAAGATTCTTGTATTGCAAATTATTTCTTGTCTGTTAACTTTTGGCAAGTCTCGCACAGTTTGACAAGGCTTGTGCTTATCACAGCTAACTATTTTGCAGAGGCATTAAAAGGTTTCTGTTCCCTTTGGATGGTCTTTGATTTGTTGGAAAAGGGGCGTGGGTCAGAATACAGAGGTCCTGCCTATCCCTTCCTGTATCTGTCCTCTTCAGAGCCCCACGGCAGCACAAAAGGGAATGGAGGAAAGGCTGGTCACTGCAACCAGGGTTACCCACCTGAGGATCGCAGCAGCTTTGCCTTTGGCCCTCGCCTTGGCATACTGACTTCGAGCGGCCGATTTTTCCTTAATGGAACTAGTAAAAGTGATGCCGTTGATGTTCCTGTGGAGTAGAAAAGAAGCAAAAACAGCCCCCAGAATCAGTCACTTGTGAGATTGGCAGCTATCACAACAGAACGGAGCAGAGCAGAGCAGAACAGAGAACAAGGGATGGAATTAGGAATGGAATGAGAGAGGAGAGACAGAAGAGAAGGGAAGGGAAGGAAAGGGAGGAAAGGGAGAGGGAGGGAAGGGAAAGGGAGGAGAAGAGAAGAGACCGAAGGGAAGGGAAAGGAAAGGAAGGCGAAGAGAAGAGAGGAGACAGAAGGGAAGGAGAAGAGAAGAGACAGAAGGGAAGG